AAAAAAAAAACGTGAAAGGAGAATAAAAAAGAGGAAGAGAGAGAAAGAGGAAGAAAAAAGAAGAAGAGGGGGAGAGAGAGAGAAATTGTCGTCTATCTGTTTTTTTGCTCAAACGATTCACAATTTTGTATTTTTTAATTTCTTTTAATTTTTTGTGTTTTCCTAAATTTGTTCAATTTTGGAGTATATTTGGTATTGTGTATGAGTAGTAACTATTGTGAAATATAAGTCTTAAGGAGGGGTAGTTATAAAATTTCCCCGTTATGTAGCCAGACAATAATTGGGCCTCAATATAGATTGGGCCTAATAAGAAGCGACTGTCTTCATTAGTGTTTTAATTCTTTTTTAATTTACTAGTACGTACCCCGTGCAATGCACGTGACATAAATATTAAATTAATTATTTTCATACGACTTTGTTCGTTTAAGTTTAAAAATCAATAAGGTTATCATAGATTTTTCACTTGTATATTAGGGCTAGCTTGTAAAATAATTAATATATTATCTATACATATTTAATTCTTTTTTTATCAGTTGTACATATTTATTTCTTAATTTGAAATAAAAAAATGTTTGACCAGTTGAGTATTAAATCAACACTAATTAATTTATTAAGTAAGTAAAGACGCAAAGCAAGACAATTTAATTATCCAGCAATTTAGGGTAATATATAGTTATTTCCTTTATTAAACATGATTTTTAAAAATAAAATAACATCAACCCCAAATAATAGGCAACCTTCATGGTTTTGTTGAAAACCATAATAACAAAATTATTAACTAATGGATAGCATTTAATGCTGTTTTTTTATAAAAAAAAAAAAGAAAAAAGAAAAAGAAAAATTACTAAGAATGGAATGTAATTAATGAAAAATGATTTTGACCATAATTTGACCTGCTATTTTTAAAAAATGGTAAATCTTTTTATATGTATATAGATTTTTTTTTGTCGGAACTATAGACTTCAATAAAAACACAAAATTACATACATTTAATTAATCAGATGAACCAGCTATACAACTGAATTCAGATCAGAGACACGTCCAAGGTTGCCTAAAAACCACAAACACTAAAAAACTAGAAAAAAAATTCTCACGAGTGGAGAATATGCGTTACCAAACGAGAGAATAGACGCTCCTACATTGAAGAATAAAAACCACAACTCACACATACACACAAAGAAAAATCGCAAAGCTAAATAAAATTCGCACAAAAACTACAATTAGAGATGGTAAATGGGTTAGCCCTAGTGGTTTCACGCTATCTCAAGCGGGCTTCAGGTTAAGCGTTCTGACCTAAAAAGCCCGAAAATAGACTACCAATAAAGGAATTGAACTCTAACTCCCGCGGACCTCAGGCTAAACTGGTTATTATAATAATAATAAAAATAGTATTAATAATAATATATAAAAATTACAATGGGTAGTTAACGGTTTTTTTTTTCGAGGGTTTCAAGGCAGCATGTCGAGTTAGGATATTCAGATGGTCTGATAAAAACTCGACCTATAGGCATGACTGGTCGTATGATCAACCAGAAAGAACAAAACTCGCAGTCCTCGAGCGGGTCATATTATTAAGTTATCGAATACGAAGGATTAAGGGATAATAATGAATCTTGCCATAATTTGGCTACATGTAGCATTACTTGATAGGTCCACACTCTGTAACCACCTCTGACAGTGGACATGGCTGATTGTCTATCAGGCAGAACGAGCAGCCAACTCATCATACTCGGGCAGCCTTCTAAAAGTAGATACCTCACCTTCATAAATAGGGGTGAGATGTGTGTTTCTTAGCTCATTACGTCCATTATACTTTACATTGTTGCAATTTATCTTCTACACATACTCGGTTAAGCATCGAAGGCTCTTTGCCGAAAAACCCCTCTGGTGTAAGAGTTTTTGCAGAGCTAAAGGCGTTCAACCAGCTAGGAAGCTTGTGAGCAGGCCGATTCCAGCCGATCAAGAGGCTTTGCGTACCAATATACATTATACATCATTATTATATTTTACATTTGTATATAGTACCAATTACATAATTAACAATAGGTCATTTTGGCATTTATGCTTCAATAACATTCTAACTTTGCAATATATATAAAGCCCAATTATTTATCGGATGGTCGGCCCGACCCATAAACTCGGCCGGGTCGGATCCAAAATTTGTTAGAAATTAGAAGGGAAAGAAGCATTGTGAAGCTCTTTTAAAATTTGTACATTCATTGCGATGGCTTTCGGACCACTATGGAACTTGAAAAGGTGGTCCGTTTTTATTGGGCCATAAATTTGTCGTATGAATCTCGTCATTGAATTTAAAGCATGTGGAATGTGGCTAAGGACCATGGTAAAGTCTGTCACAAAACAAAATGTTTTAGGCCCATCATATTCCATCAAATCACAATACTAGAATTCCTCCTTATATATATATATAAAATCAAAATTCCTAAAGCTTTTTCCATCTCATTTGTTAATGTTTTGATGTTTTATTTGGTTATTCAAAGATTCAGTCTATGTTGATTCGTAAATAAAAATGTAGTGTTTTAGAATTGTTCATGTAAATTTTCACTTTTATATAAATAGATGGATGCTTTTAACTTTATGAAACTCATTTGGACAAGTTTTACTCTCTATATATATATATATATATATGAATGATATAGAGTAATGCTCCCCTACCCATGGTGGGCACATGTTAATATGCCCACCGTTTATGTGGCATTCACACATTAGTGATGTTAATATATTGAAAAAAATACATCAACTATGTGTGCATGACACATAAGCGGTGGGCATATTAACATGTGTCCACCGTGAGTAGGTGAACATTACTAATATAATATATATATATATATATATATGTATTCATGGGTTTTAAGATATGGTATGTCAATATCTCGCCCTATATATTATGGGTTGACTTTTGATACGTCGTAATCTACATGTCGAATTTTTATGTTTCATAATTTTATGTGCCAATTCTTGTTTCGGAGTAGTGCATGTACATCTGGATTCTATCCGTACCTGTTAGACTTCTAAAACTATAAAACACATTACTAATCTAAATCCTTTGCGCTGAGTCTACGTGGCTGCTTCTGGTGCTTCGGAATCCTATTTGGCGAAAAATCATGCTTCGTAATTAGGTTTGGACAAATAATATTAATATATTAATAATTAATAATCTAGGTTCG